GAGCTCTCCCTCTCCTTATTGTTGAAACAGCTACTAATCTCCGTTAGCTCCGGGCTAGCACCAGATGCTAACAACAACCCACGTAACTCTCTCTTTCTATCTCTCTCTCACAAGATGCGCTCGTGCCACACACACACAGACGCTCCTCCTTGACGATGACCGCTTGCGTAAAAAAATAATAATAAACACATTTAAAAAGTGGGGGGGACACAAATGGGATTTTGAAAAGTGGGGGGGACATGTCCCCCCTGTCCCCAGTGGAAATTACGCCCATGGCCTTGGCAGACTTAACGTTTAACGATCAAGAACTGTCCTGGCAACTGAAGAAATACAATGGCATGCCTGAGGCCCTGGAGACTTATTGTAAGAAGGTTTACAATGCTAACAACCAGACTAAGGAAAAACAGCAGAGAATCACAGGCCAAAATGATTAATGCTCTGGTCACAAACAGCAACTATCTATAGTGCTAAACCATCTGCAGTGCAGTAATGTAGCAAGAGCAGGCCGTCCGAGATCTGAGGCAGAAGACTACTGAAAGAGCATGTTGGAGAAACAATCATCACAAACAGCACATGCTCAATGGACTACACACCTGAAAACAGACCAGTACATTATCCACGGGCAGGAAACAGTCATCATTGGTGTAGTTAAAGAGTAGAAGATACTAGACGTTTTTTTCAGACACTGAAATCGGATTGATGGAATAAGTACAAAATAAAGTTACCTTTTAATTTAGGTTTAGTTTCTCTTGGCTCCATGTGCTTTAGCATTCCCACTCTCTGTAAGACTAGTATAAAGTTGATTGTTGTAATTATACAACAAATGACTTTGATACGACACCTGCCTGAAAATCTCAATACTGATAGTGAAACGAGGTTCCCATGCAAAGCCTACATTTATTTTTATTTTTTATAAATCTTGTAAGCAAGCATAATCTTTCACCTTACATTGATTTAACCATTGTAAAACAAACTGTTGCAGCTATGATTTGCTCAGCCACTTGTTGATCGGTTATAGCAACACATCTAATGCTTTTTTGGGACCTATATTTGAAATGTCATTGTTTTTCTATGAGCAATATCGTCAGCGGGGAAATTCAATATCGCCCAACCCTAGGCATGCCCCCTATACTTGCAGGGAATCAAAGCAATATGCTGCACACACCCACTGACTTGTAGATGCACCAATGCAACTTTTTTAAAGTATCTTTACTTATAAAAGGGTGAAAAGTATCTTAGTCTTCTCCTTGTAAAGGGAACTTGTCACACTACACAGATCATTTCATCCAAAACCAGTTTCAAGAGACAGTTTGCCAGCTAGAGAGTAAAGGGCTTAGTAAGTGTCAAGGCTAGTGTCCTGAATGACACATTAAGCATCCACGAGTATATCAGCTCCTGAAAATAAACAGCTGGGAGCATATCTCAAAACAGCAGCAGATAGGAAGAACGCCGGCAATAAGGGAAGAGGAGGAACCTCGGGAAACCAATCCCTTATATGGGAACATGGCAGACAGATGAGGTGGCAGATAACCAAATATCCTACCAAAGACTAAAAAGGGTCAGACTTACCGAACTAGACAAAACCAAAGTTGCAGACTGTGCATACGTGCCATTGAGAATGTTTAAAACACCGATTAGGGTATAAAATGCGGGAACAACATCTACTGAATAGCAAAACCCATTATGTGAGAAATGTGAACAGAAAAAATCTGCATATAGTAGACTGGGCACTCAAAGCCATCCATTTTGATTTCTCTCAATAAGACACCCTAAATAGGTCGGCTAGGAATAATGAAGATGAAAATAATAGAGGATCAGGGGCTTGCACATCCACACATCCACACCATCAAATTGTTCTCCATGCATTGAATATCATGTGCAAAGCCCTACATTTATAATCCTGAGCTAGAGGACCCAGCCGTGAGGACACATACCTGGCTAGATGGGGAAATCATTTTACGATTTTGTTTTATTTTATTTTATAATCATCACCTCACCGTTATACTGTTGACAGCAGTTATGTGGATTAATAGAGAGACAGCATGCACTAAAAGGGGCAACAAGACAAGAACATGGAGAATAAGGATGAACACAGGTAGACAGTAGTGGGGCAGATTATTTATTTCAGTGTCTCCCTCTCTGTTGAGAGATGAATGACATCCATTAGCAGTATTGGGAAGCTGTCTCTTTGTGCACCAATCATAGAAATAGAGTTCTGGTGGAGTTGGACGTGATAACTGACAAATTATACCTGTGATCCCAAAAAAAAAGCTAAATCTTCGCAAATAATCTGCAGTCTGAGTGAACAAATGGTGGGATCCATTGCTAATGCAGCTTAATGGTCTCCCACAGCCAAGACACATTACTTAGTCAAAGTTTCACCAAGGACTGAGCAATTCTTATACAGTACTGTATGTGATAATGGACTTGGCTTCGTCAAAATCATAAGCTTAATCACAAAAGTCCATTCTATTTTCCGTTAATTAATAGGTATGCCTACTCAGGAAAACTTCTTATCAGAAAGGGAATTGACAAAATGTGCTAACAAAAACACAAAACTTTTTTAATGCCAAATCTAACACTTCATATTTATATCACCACTGCTTTAGTCACTTCAGCCTCCCACCAAACACTAAGACCAATACATTCAACACAAACCGGAAAATAATCATAATAAATATATCATATATTTCCACTAAAGATATCATGCACAACAGTTCATATGGTAGAATTCTTCACAAATATACCTAAAAATATATATATTTAAGTCAATCATCTCGTATAGAAATTGAACATAACAGGCCAGGTACCAGAGAAGGAAGTGTGTGGATCAAGTCATTTTAGACTAAAGGTAGCACTACACTACATGGTGCCTCCCTCCTCTCCTCCTGACAAGGAAAAGTGCAGCCTGGTGTATTCTTTGCTCGTTGCTTCAGTCTCCTGATCCAGGCTTGAAACACAGCAGGAGGTGTGTAATCCAACTTTGGGCAGACTATTCTAGTGTAATCCCATGCTCACTCAAAGTACACACAAGTCTCTTTTGACTGCTCTAGCAAAGATTCAAACTGTCATTCGGCCCATCTGTCATCTGCCTCTATGTTTGCCTGTCAGACTTTCAGGATCTCTTGCTGTTTGTGTATATGTCACGCTGCAAGTGTTGGATTTAATGTGACTCCTTGAGAGAAACTAATCATCTTTTGAGCATCTTTCTATTGCATAAGCACATTAAGAGAAGTCCCTTTGCACTGGGATTAGAATTTAAGGACATGTGTGCAAAAAGTACATCATTAGATGTGTCTATATGACTTGATCATGCTTGAGTGTGTGTGTGTGTGTGTGTGTGTGTGTGTGTGTGTGTGTGTGTGTGTGTGTGTGTGTGTGTGTGTGTGTGTGTGTGTGTGTGTGTGTGTGTGTGTGTGTGTGTTTGAACCCAACTGAAAGACGTTTTTGTTCACAGGTGGCGATTCTGCAGCACCTATGGGGAATTCTCTGGTTCTTTTCAACTGCACTCCTTTTATTTCCTGTCTTTATTCATAGCGTGCAATGCCGGGGCCTCACTTAGATTCAATGGGTCATTTCAGCCAAGAAGCCACCAACAATGAGGTAATCAACCATAACACAAAACTGCTTAACTTGCCTTTCCGATCAATGTCTGGAGAAAGAATCAAAAGGACACTCTAAACTAAAGCACCTACAGAAAGTGCCTGAGCACAAGACTGCAGTGACAGGCTGTTAATGTTTAATCTGCATTTTGCTTTACCAATAGCTGAGTCTTTAGTTGAAATGTAAAAGCAAGAGAGGAGGGATGAGGAGAGAAGTGTTGACACAGAGGAACATTAGTAATAACAGATTGTGTGGTGTTTGGTTACATAGTAAACATCACATGGTATCTCTAAACGTGTGATCTTATGTGTGCTACAGGGACAGATAGATACCACTTTATTTTCTATTATCAAGTCAGTGAATGGTAAAGTGTTGCTTTCTCTCTGCATTTGTGTGCAATTACAGGCAGTCACTTTCTGTTCAAAATCATTTCAACCTGTGACTTATGGACATTTTAATTGGAATATTGTCCATGCTTTGAAGTAAATCATGAATGACTAACTTCAAGAGAGCTAAAATAAGCACTACTACTGTAGAACAGTTTCTGTTGTAGATGTCAAGATGGCTGTTGCTGAATCCATTTAAATTACAATTGCACAGCTCAATGAATAAAATTAACTTATTTTGGATCGTGACATTTGCCCTATTCCATACCACCCTCTGCAGTAAACGTATATACGAAAGAAGAAATCCCTTAGACTGTTTGAAGATAAAGGAATAAAAGGATCAAACTCAGAGTACTAGTTCTGCGTTTTTATGTGGTTGCAATACTACAAAAACCCAGACTAGGTCTTCAGGGAAACTCCTGCGTGAAGCTTTTATTAAGAAGAATGTATGGTTGAATCTCTTTTCTCTCTGCGCACAAAGCAAACAGAGAGACAGGGAGGTGAAAGTAAAGTTTTACAGTTCAGGTATAGCTATCTTGATTCTCTACTTTGTGTTTTAGTGTGGATTTACAATCGCCTCTTAGAGCCTTCTCGATCTCTGATGCCTTTTTCTCTCTCCTGCCTCATTCCCTCCCTCCCTCCCTTAATCCCTTCCTCTCCTCCTCTCCCCCTAAGTGGCTAGTTGTCAAAGTCAGCTGGAACCCAGTTAATGAAGAGGTAGATTTATTAGCGTGACATCAGGGAAGAAGGCGGGGAGTGGAACCCCAAAAGCCAGAGAGCAAATACAGCCACTAAGTGTGCATAGACAACAAAAAAAAGACAGGGAAAGGAGAGGAAAATGCAAATAGGCAAAAGAAAGCGATAAAACTGAAGATGCTTTGGAGAAACAAAGCGATATCCTGAGAGCACACAGAAGAGAGGTAGTAAGCACACAGTCAGAGAGGAAGGGGGAGAGGCAGCTTCCCTCTCTTTCATCCTCTCCTCAACAGTGGCTACAGAACGAGCTCTTACCGTCTGTTGCAGGTCTGGGATTCCAATGCGGATGACCACCGTGTTGCCTGTCGGCTCCTCCATGGGTGCTCTGGCACTGTGGCTCCGCTCAGCAACGGGACAGAAAGCTGGAATGGGAACGCCGCTGTCCTCTTCCCGGGAGCTGCCGCTGTCAGTGCTGGCCCCCTGGCTGCCGTTTGCTGTGTGTGTGTAAGGGTGTGTGAATGTGGGTGAGTGTGTGTGTGTGTGCTGCTGCTGCTGGTCCTGCCGTGGAGGGCTGGGTGGCTCATGTTTGCCGGCTGCCGGACGCAGAGGCATGCTCCGTGTTAGGGGCTCAGTCTATGTGTCTCTCTCTCTCCAGACACACACACACAAGCACACACACACACACACACACGGATGGCTCTGGCTCACACTACACACACACACCGTGTGCAGCGTGCATCACTCGCCTGGGAGAAAAAAAGAGAGAGAGAGAAAGAGGCAGGGAAGGAGGGTTGCAGGGAGGGAATGGGCAAAAAAGGAGGGGTATTAGGAGAGATGAAGGGTAGAAACACAAAGAGAGGATAAGTGTTAGAGAAACTTGGAGTTAAAAACCAAAGAGAGATGCATAGATAAAGCTTAATTGAAGGAATTACATTAATAAAATGGGGTAAAATTGATTAACTTTAATGTGAGATTTAAACAATTGATAATCCTAATCCAATTAGTAAAAAAGGAGGCACATTTACTCTCTCAAAAGAACAACATGGATTTAAAAAAAGAGAAAAATCGGAATGGAACGACAGCATTACAACCTTTACATACTAATATGTGCATCTTTCTTATTCACTGTATGTGTGTTTGGATAGTGTTTAACAGCACCACTATTAAATAATTAATGCAGACCGATGCTGATACAAAAATATTTGTACTAGAGTTTGAGACACATATTTCACACGCTAAATTCATATAGTGTAAAGCAACTTATATTCTAAAAGAATCTGTGCATGTTTATACTCCAAGTGTTCCCACACATCGTGTCACGTGTTGCTGTCACACACTGTTGCTCTAGTTGTAGTGAACTGACACTGGTGACGTCAGGACAGCGGGGGGGAATGTTTGTGCAGATCAATGTTGGGCGGGATCTGGCCTTCATGTTTCACTTTACCAATCTGTGGAGGGGGTCGCTGATCGAATGGTTCACAGGTAAACAGTGACGCATACACAGAGCACGCTGCGATAAGGAGAATGAGTTTTCTTTCATGGGAGTTCTTCTCATTGAGGATCATTCTCAAAAGGGGCGTTGTTTCATTTGCTGTTTTATCCCGCAGGCCCCGTGAGAATGGGATTGTGATTAAGAGCTAAAAAAGAAGCCTCCTAAAGCTATTTCCTGACTGTCATGTTTTATGAAGAAAAATGTGAGGTTTTGTTGCTTAAAGAATTGGCCTATTCAGTTCATGCTGTCATATTACATTGAACTCAAGATAACAACAGACATGCTTATAAGAGGAGATTGGTACATGACCTCTGTGTGGTGTGTAAGACAAATACTTAAGGGCTCGAGTATTGCCAGTTTCAAAGCTCAACATTTGATTAAGTGAGTTTGGCATGCAAGTTAAATGTGGCACGAAACATTTGTGGCAGGTCTCTGAATTATTGAGTGTGATCTTACAGTAAGTCAGTGCTATGCTTCATTGTGTTCTCGCTGCAATCATTGTTCACGCTGACCCGACCGCCTGAAGACAGCATTTTCTTATTGTGTGGAATTTAAAGCAAGCACTTCAGGGAAATTACAAGTGATGAAATCTCTGAATCTGCGGTTACACAAGATAATGTGAGCTCTTGAGTGGACACGCACGTGCAAATATATATGCACACACATACGCAAGCAAACACACACAAGGGACTCTTGCAAACATACCGACTGCAGGAATATTTACTCATTATTATGATTTGAACGTATTTCAATTAGGTAATTTGGGCAGTTGACGCAAAATTGGACCTTTTCTAAGAAAACCTCATAGTCCAATTATTACAAGACAAGCGTGAATAGCAGTTTTGTTTTCTGAGAGCTGGTGGCAACTGAAGTGTTTTTATAAAGGGTGTCACACCTAAGATTCAAATCTTGCCATCTTATTTTAAAGGTCTCCTATTATACTGTTTTTCATCAATATATTATAGGTCTCAGATATATACAAAACATGTCTCTGAAGTGTTTGGCTGGAAATACCAAACAGATCGTGCATTGTAGCATCCCATAAACCCCTCTGTTACAGCCCTGTTTCAAAAGGGCTGATGCTCTGTCTGTTACTTTAGATTAAAATAAGGACTCCCCACGACCCTCTGAGAGATATTTGGTTAAAAAGAACACAATGGTGCTCTAGGAGGAGATTCTGGTGATTAGGGGGGGGGGGGGGGGGGGGGGGGGGGTTACCTTGGTTGGTGATTGGCTAATGGTTACTCAAGCCAAAAAAATCGTTATTACATCATATAGTGGCCAAAATCTGATCAGCTCATTTTCAGACAGGTTTTTATATAAATGGATCAGGACAAAAAGTGGGCAAATCTTTTCTCCTGAAACTTTCAGAATCTCTTTACACAGAGGGGACACATGTTTATGTATAAAAGACTTGAACAAGTGGATTTTGCACAATAGGTGACTTTTAATAAGTAATTTAGCCATTACAATTGTCCCTTATACCTGTATGTTGGGTTGTTTTATTTCCTCTCCTTGGAAATGTTCTTTTAGCTTGAAACAATGCAATTCAATGTGTTGGGAAATTAAACACAAGCAGCAGAAGGCAAGTTATATGTATACCCCTTCCCCACAGAGGCGAGCTGGTGAGTGCTGTGCCACTGCTGGACACGTCTACAGCATGTAATCCCATTAGCATTGGAGAAAGAGCACGGCAGGTAGCCCTAATACATAAGAGGATTTAGCAGATCACCCTGCATGTTTGCACCTTCAGCCTGCCAGGTCTTTAAGGCGAGGAAAATTGATAACTCTTACCACCTTGTAGTGGGGCTCAATAATCGCATTTTAGAAAGCAATTTTGTGGCCTTACACTGCTGGCAAAATGGGTCTTTGTGTACTTTAAGAGGACACAATGGAATACAAACATGCTCCAACGACTGACACCATATTTTGTTAGTAGTTTCAAACAACACATTGAGCATTTTGTCAATATCATCAGCCAGAATGCAACACTTGAATGGTTCAAAATGACTGATATGCGAGTAAACTGTTTGATGAATAACAACAGATCACACTATTAGAATGCTTCAATTCTGGGAATGTGGCAAAAAGAGCTAAGATGGCTTGCCGAAAGACAAAATGATTCCCCTTGATAGCAGGGCCAGGGAGGGATTTCATCCTGCTTGCATCATACAAGGATAAACTCTGTAGGCAACAGCTCTGGAAGAGATCTACATATATGGAACAAGTTATCTGGCTGGAAAAATGGCAATAAAAAGAGAACATTTACAAAGGATTATGGTTTGTGTTCTATGGTCTATTCTGGCAGATTACAGATTCAGGGTGTATGTATGAGAATGTAATTCTACAACTAGAGTTCAAACAATATGGTAGCTGATGAATAAGCAAGTGAGAAACTGTGGATCATTCATTGTTGCAGCCATTATCAAACAAACATGTAAAATATCTAGCTTCCCGAATGTAAGAATGTATTGCTATTCGTAGGTTGAAAATGACAAAAAAGTTAAATGTTTGAGATGAGTGGTCACACAACACAAGCAATTTGTAAACACCACCTAAGTAAATTGGCATGGCTATTTTCCACCATTTAATTGAATTAATCTATGAATTGAAACAAATATTAATCAATATTGATGAAAAACATGTGTCAGTTGCAGCCCTACTAACAGTGTTATGTTAAGCTGCATACTGAATGAGTTATCTTTACCCACTGTAATATACATACACTGTATAAAACAACATAATGGGATAAATCATCAGTCCTTGGCACAGGTTCAACAGCTTCATTTAAACAAACTTCAATATGGCCTGAAAAAGAGGGGCTATCACATTTCCATATAATGTTCCTTCACCTCTAATAATGTTTATAGTATATTGTGATAATATGCCATACATGTTATAAACTTGGCTGGCAAAAGAGCTAACTCAAAAAAACAATATCTATAGGCGAACATTGCCGTCCAGACTCTCTGTCTAAATCCCATTTCTTGGGAACATTAAGAGAGTGGACTTGAATCATAAGGAGGCTAGCTCCCATGCTTGAGCTAACAGCTACTGCCTCTTCTCTCTTTAACTCAGATCTCCTTACCCCATCCCCTCTCACCCCCTCTCTTGCGCTCCAGCCCAGTGAAAACAAAGTGAATAATTCATGACATACAGAGCAGTGTGTGCATGGATCCAGTACAATGTATGCATGTATCTGAAACATCCGCTAGGCTTTAAAAGTGGTTGCCATAGGGCCGAACATGAGGGACATTCACAAATACAACTGAAAACCACAGCCAGCTATCAGCCAGCCCTACATAGACCACTCTGAGACATGCACTCTGGAAAAGAAGGGGGCTGGGGCAGAGGGAGGGAGAGGGAGAGAGATAAAGGTAAGCAGTTGGTTGAGGTAGCATGAAGCAGAGATGGTCAGAGAGGATGTGGCTAAGACGGCCAGTGGGCCAAGAAAAGAGTAGAGAAAGGGAGCGTGAAAGAAAAGGGAGGCTGGCAGAGCGATGACAGAAAAGGAAGGTGGGAGAGCCAGCAAGAGGGAGGGAGAGAGGGAGGGATATCATTACATACAGTCAGCTTTGACAAACCACCCACATAACCCACATGCCTGGAGTAAATGTGATAACTGTTCACAGACCCCATCAGAGTCTGCTTCATGCTCCTCTACACCTGGTAAAGAAAATGTCATGGCCACTCACAAACTGAGGTCACCCCGGGCCACATTTATTCACACATATTCAGTACACACACACACTTTATATCTCTGTCCATTAAAACATTTCCAATTTATTCCATCTTCCATATACTTGCTACCTTCCTCTCTCTCTCTTGCGAATTTGAATGAAGGTAACTTATTGGTAAGGCAGAAAAGCGTCAAACCAAAAGTGAAAGTTGGGTTTTTCTTCTATCGTGTCTTATAGTATTGGTAGTGTCTTGCCGATTGGTTCCCTCAAAGCAGCTGTTATGACGGTTTCTGTCCAACATATTAAGGTCAGGATGAAGAGACATTGTGAAAAACAAGGTTTTCCTCAAGTGACGTCACCAGCACTTTTCTGAAAAGTTTTTTGACTGAAAAGGGGGAAGCAAAAAATACATTTGGGCAGAGTATTTTCTCAAGGTAACCGCATGCGACAGCAAACGCTTCTCAATTAAGAAAATATGCTGCAACTCAAAAAAGACGCTATGGACACAGGCCTTAATACTGTAAAATAAAAAATCCCTACCTGTTTAATCAATGTAACATTAAAAATGTTCACT